CACTCTCTGTCCATGGTGCTAAGGTGTGCGTGTTAATAACCGCAGTTGCTAGCTTAGGTCTTTACAACTAGGAGTTATATAACGTCTACACATTCTCTAACCACTCATGTCAATGTAAATGTGACCTCTAGCTAAATTATGCAGTACAGACCAAACTGAAGCAGCTACTTTAAACACACAAAGTCGTTGGTTTTTGTACTTTACTAAACGAACGTCTCGCGGGAAACAGTTTCGGATCTACCGGTGTGTCGTTTCCTTTTCCGTGCTTCTGGGCGGGTCTCACGCCGCTGCGCTCTTCGCTGATCTCTAAACATCACTGTGGGGGGGGGAAATTACCACCAGTAGCTGTTGTACTTCCGGTCCCTATGCTTTACAGCTTTACTGCTTCTGCGCAGCCTTTCCACGCGCCTTTGAGGAGGTTCCGGTGTCGCGTTTCCGTCACGTCGTCCATTTTCACGGATCCGCACATGGTGCTACACCGGCTGAGAACCGCCAGCCTTTTCGTTTTCGGGATTTTTGCTCCGCTGTAGACAAAAGTCCGTGTCGTAGTTCTGTTAAATGAAAGAAACGGTGGATATGGTGGACGACCCCGAGTATGAAGAGGAGGAGCCTTCCTTCAGCGACCCGGAGGACTACGTGGACGATGTCGACGACGACGGTAAGCAGTCACAGAAAAAACGCCGGCTTTCCGGCCTGCTGTTAGCAGTTAGCTAAGAGCTCAATGGTGGGGATGTTTTAGATGCTACAAAGCTAGCTAGCTTGCCTCTCTGCTCACCGGCACGTAGTAATAGTGAATAGTTAACAATGAACATGAGCTGGATGCATAAGCGTAATTACCAGGAATACAACAGCGACACCACCCTTTTTCTCCAAAAAAAACTCCAACATAACGTTATCACAGTGTACTTAACGCCCGTTACAGCCTCACCCAGACCCCACACTGGGGCCTGTGCGATGCGATCTGAAAAACCGAAACATGATTTTAGCTAGTAAAGCTGTTAAGGCGCATTATTTTCTCTGTGCTGTTTGCCTATATAAAGTAGTTTGAATGGGGCAGCTGGTTGTAGCTCAGTGGTAATCCTAACCCAGGTCCGAGGGGCGTTTGCTCAGTAGAGCTTTTCAATTGTGCAAGTTTTGCAGTTGTGGTAAAATGACTCATCAGATACACGTGTTTTGTCTGTAGTAGTCACAATATAATTATTTATGTATATAGAAACTTTGGGGGTAAATTTACAACAAAATTAGTACCATTTAATATTAATATGCAAGCTTAAGTTAAACAGAGACTCAAATGAAATAGCTTCTGTGAAGCTAAACACGCCAGCATAGCGGTTCTTTATCCTCATCAAAATGATGTATATTAAGCAGTGAGTGTAAAGGAGATGTACTATTGAATCAGCTTTATTATGATGTGATTATATGTTGTCTACTTATAAATCATGAAGCGTAAACCTACACATCTCTAATGGAAATTTAAACAAAAGAATTATGTCTGTTTCAACGATGCAGTCTTCCCTACCAGTAACTGAAGTGGTGGCTATAAAGTTTAGATTGGTTTTTGTATATGAAAAGAAGGTTGTCATTAAAATGAGATAAGAACCCCAACCCCACACAGTCCGATGAGCTTGTTCATCACCCCTGACCCTCCTCCTTCACTTTTCAGAGCTTCTTGATGACATCCTGAGGGAAAAACCCCAGGAGGCAGACGGCATAGACTCGGTGGTGGTGGTGGACAACGTCCCTCAGGTGGGCCCGGAGCGTTTGGAAAAGCTCAAGAACGTCATACACAAGATCTTCTCCAAGTTTGGCAAGATCACGACCGAGTTTTATCCAGATGCAGATGGCATGACCAAAGGGTAAGACCACAGATGTTTTCTTCTGTGTTCTTTTGTGCATCTGTTTTGACTCAAGGTGGATTTCCGGATTTGAAGCAGAGGGTTTTTGTTTTGTTTTTTAGTAATTGTTTTTTTCACCTCGTTACAGTTACATCTTCCTGGAGTATGCTTCTCCTACTCAAGCCCTCGAAGCAGTCAAGAACGCAGATGGATACAAACTCGACAAGCAACACACGTTTAGGGTCAACCTCTTCACTGACTTTGACAAGTGAGTATGGAGTACCACCCAGTAAATGCATTGTCCAGGTATTGCTTGCCAGACTTGGAATACAAGTAAATAATTGCCCCTTTGTTTTTGTTTTGTTTTTTTAGATACATGAACATCAGCGATGAATGGGAAGCTCCAGCAAAGCAGCCTTTCAAAGACTTTGTAAGTGTTACCTTAACTTTTCAGTCATAAGACTTAGAATTTGTTTGACAAAAATAGCTTCATGTCAGCACTTTCATTATTAAGTTGACCTTTATAAATCAACAGGACAGTCTCTATCCTGAAACCCTGCAAGCGACAATTACTTTGTCTGTGTTTTCAGGGGAATATGCGCCATTGGATCGAGGACCCAGATTGCCGTGACCAGTACAGTGTGATCTATGAAGCTGGAGAGAGGACTGCCATTTTCTCCAACGACGCTAAAGAGCCAATCACAGTTGAAGAGAGAGCGGTGAGTTTTTAATTACTCACACAGAGTTGGTGGGAAATGCAGGGCTTGTATCAAACAAGATTGGTCAGTAGTCAAACTGGTTTGGAGAGTTCTGATGTTTTTCCTGCTTTGATGCAGCGCTGGACAGAGACGTACGTCCGATGGTCTCCTAAAGGTACCTACCTGGCTACGTTCCACCAGCGGGGAATCGCACTGTGGGGCGGCGAGAAGTTCAAACAGATTCAGAGGTTCAGTCATCAGGGTGTGTCCCTCATTGACTTCTCACCATGTGAAAGGTAATAAAAAGTCGATTTTTTTTTTTTAATCCAAAGAAGCACATTATAGTGCACAGAGTATCCCGTTCTAGTATTTATTCATTAGTGATTTATTTATTTCCTGTAAATAAGGCAACGTCACCTAAATCCTGTGGGTTGTTGCACCATGACCTGGGGACAGCAAAGGATGATTAATGTGCAGATAAAGCACTCTAAAGAGGTGCCGAGTTGGCCTGTGAGCCACTGTCTGATTTTAATGTGTGGTTGTGTTGGCTTCCAGGTATGTGGTGACCTTCAGTCCACTGATGGACACCAAGGAGGACCCACAGGCCATCATCATCTGGGACATTCTGACCGGACAGAAGAAGAGAGGCTTCCACTGCGAGAGTTCTGCACATTGGCCTATTTTTAAGTCAGTATTATGCTTTCTCTCTTTTAAATCTAATTTAAGTCAAATTTGCAGAGTCCTTGCAGAGTTTGGATGCGTCTTCTAATTTTACATGTTTGTTGTCAGATGGAGTCATGATGGGAAGTTCTTTGCAAGGATGACACCAGACACACTGAGCATCTATGAAACTCCGGTAAGTAGGCCTGAAAACAGTCTAGATGCGTTTAAATGAAATGTGCAAATGATATTAAAGGTTTATGTTTTGTTTTCTTCTTGTAGTCTATGGGCTTACTGGACAAGAAGAGTCTCAAGATTACTGGGATAAAGTAAGAGTCCTTTATACTCTCATGCTTTAAAAAGCAACGGCATTTTGTATAGAGGTATTAATGTTTGTGCATCTTCAGGGACTTCTCGTGGTCTCCTGGTGACAACATCATAGCGTTCTGGGTACCCGAGGACAAAGACATCCCAGCCAGGGTGACTCTGATGCAGATGCCCTCCCGTCAGGAGATCCGCGTTCGCAATCTCTTCAATGTCGTCGACTGCAAACTGCACTGGCAGAGAAACGGGGATTATCTGTGTGTGAAAGTTGACAGGACTCCCAAAGGAACACAGGTACTCATAGAAAGAGGACAAACCGCTTATATGTCACAGATTTCTTTTAAAAAAAACAAGAAATAATAAGTTGACTTTTTTTGCCTTCTCAGGGTGTCGTTACCAACTTTGAAATCTTCCGCATGAGAGAGAAGCAGGTTCCTGTCGATGTGGTGGAGATGAAGGGTAAGACATGTATTTGTACAAACACAGAAATGAGCTGCAAGTAATTCTAATTTCCACAGAAAGGAAGTTAATCTGTTTCCCTTCGTGTTGTTTTCCTTCTAGAAAGCATCATAGCGTTTGCATGGGAGCCCAATGGCAGTAAGTTTGCTGTCCTCCACGGCGAGTCGCCAAGAATCAACGCCTCTTTCTATCATGTCAAAAACAATGGCAAGATCGAGCTCATAAGTGAGTAGAAGGACAGGCATGCAATGTTATAGCAGAGCGTTGTTGCTTCTAATGTGTCCGCTAAACTGAATGTGACACTTTTCCTTTCACAGAGATGTTTGACAAGCAGCAGGCCAACAGTATCTTCTGGAGCCCCCAGGGACAGTTTATGGTGCTGGCTGGGCTCAGGAGGTAGGTTTTATCTGAGTGTGTGTGTGTGTGTGAGATGAATATAAGAAGCCACTGATGACAAACTAAACATTTTTTCTGACACCTCGTATGAGAGCTAAGCTCCTGATTCTAACGCTAATCTGAGGCTTGTTTCATTGGTATCTGTAGAGATGAGTGTCTTTGTACATGGATGTAACCGCTTTGCCTCTCCTTTGCAGTATGAACGGAGCTCTCGCCTTTGTAGACACGTCAGACTGCACCATGATGAACATAGCAGAGCATTACATGGCCTCTGACGTGGAGTGGGATCCAACGGGTCGCTACGTCGTCACCTCCGTCTCGTGGTGGAGCCACAAGGTGCGTAGCACTCCACAGGCCTCGCCAGTCCTTTGCAGATGAGAGGAAATGCAGTCTGGTCTTTTTCTGTCATCCATTCACTTCGTTTTTCTCCACATTTACGTGCGTGCTAGGTGGACAATGCGTACTGGCTGTGGACGTTCCAGGGCCGGCTCCTCCAGAAGAACAACAAGGATCGGTTCTGTCAGCTGCTCTGGAGACCAAGACCTCCAACCCTGCTCAGCACAGAACAGATAAAGGTACAGTTTCTTCTCTATAGTGTGTGTGTGTGTGTGTGTTGTTGAGTGTGTGGAGCCAGTGATGACAAACATAATTTTTCTGACACCTCGTATGAGAGCTGCACCGTGGCTCCTGATTCTAGCTCTAATCTGAGGCTCCCAGCTACACCACATTATACATGTGTCCACCATGTACTGCGATGATGCGTTTGTGAAGCCATCTGTCACGTTAACATGCTGTCATATACACTCATCTGTTCTCTTGCAGATGATCAAAAAGGATCTGAAGAAATACTCAAAGATCTTTGAGCAGAAGGATCGTCTGAGCCAGTCCAAGGCTTCTAAGGTTTGACCTGTTTATATTTATATTTTAACTTATCTTTGGGAGAGTTTGTTGGAAATGCTTTTCCTAATTTTTCGTGTGCTGTCCCCCACCTCTTCCATCAGCATTGGATAGGCCCCTTTTTATTGTCCTGTTAATTTGCAAGTTAATCATCTCCTGTATCTCTTTAAAGAAATTTAAAGCGTTTTGCTAACTTTTATATTGACTCTATAGTATAATTCACTGAGGCTGCTAACACTTTACATGCTTTCATGGTAATACAAGCTGTGTGTTCACACTGAAATGTAAGCTTTGTGGGTTATGATGCTGAACTCTGCTCTGTGTGAGTAGGATCTGGTGGACAAGCGGAGGGCAATGATGGAAGACTACCGACGGTACAGGGAGGAGGCGCTGAAGATTTATCAAGAACAGAAGAGCATTCGCCTCGAGCTCAGAGGAGGTGGGACCTCTCACTGTTATCTCACTCACTGTTAACTTGCCTTTGAGGCTTTTTCTTAAGAGTGCTGAAATTTTTGTGTCATGTAGGAGTGGGCACAGATGAGCTGGACAGCAATGTGGACGACTGGGAGGAAGAGACCATTGAGTTTTTTATCAACGAAGAAATCATTCCCATTGGAGATCTGTAGTCCCCTACGCAGGTAACACACTGCACAGGTTGTTGTGGAGTCTTGTCAGCTATTTGTCTTGCACCCTTTGATTTCACTGTGGAGATGTGTTCATATTTTAAACATCCGGCTATAAAACTTTACATTAGTCCACATAATGCGGCTGCATATAAATTAGGGGATGCATGTTGTCTTCAGTTTTAATCTGAATGCCATTCCCGCATGCTCATACAGTCAGCAGCATCTTCATCACCCCGCCTTTTGCTCACAGTCTCACTCTGCATTTCCGCTCTTGTCTTCCCCTTCAGTCCATCCGTTTTTGTGTGGAAGGAGGAGAGAGGAGCTACGTCATTGATTGGAGAAGGACGACGACCACGCTGTGAATCTTGGGGCTTCATCTCAGGCCGCAACGTTCAACTCATCATCAAAGTGCGCCTTACGGATCAGCAGCTTCATCGAGAGACAAAAGAGAATACTTTGTATTGCCTAATTTCTCTTTGTCTCTCAGCATCATCTTCCCCATTTTTTTTCCCTCTGTGGACTTTGATATTCAGCAAAACTGCCTCCTACTCTGTTCATTAGTTGGAGTCTCAGTGTCTAATCTCAAACTCCATCCTGTTTTGGACCTTCCTCAACCCCCCCTGGGGATTTATTTTGAACTAGCCTCACCATGCTAGTCTGTTGTTACAGGGCAGCACAGAGTGCCATACCATTCAGGGGTGGAGGTGTTGTGAATAAACAAGTAGCCTTGTTAATAAATGTGCTGATGTGGCGCTATAGTGGCCTGTATCCTCCTCCTTTCAGACTAGGCTTTCACACAGGGAGGGGGCGCGCAGTGGGAAAACCTTTAAATAAACAAACAGAATACCACCTGACTCTGTCTCACGGTTTGGTTATTATTAGAGTGAGTCCATTCAAATATGGATTGGTCACATGATCGCATGTGATATCAGAAAGCTAACAGAAAATTAACCTGCATCAGTCTGGAGCAGTGTTTACACAGTAAATATTCTAAAACTGCTGCGGGCTTGATAAAATAATTCAAAGATGTATATGGTCGTTGTCGTTCACTGATGTCTAATAAAATATTACTGCGTACCCTGATCATACTAATTAGGGCATGTGGATTATTGATAATCTGGATTATTGGTAAAGATGCTAAGATTAAAATTGTAATTGTTTATTATATTTCTGTATCTGATTCTTTGCTGTTTCACCTTATGATTCCTGAGGGGAGGGGGCGGGGTATAGGCCAGCTTGTCATCAAATCACATCAGGATATAAAAGCTGTTCTTACTCACATGCAGCACCCTCCAGGAGACACATGTACAGCAGAAGTACTGTGATTTAGATTGTTTCCTGAGTAATTAAGGCAGAACAGGGCATAATCGCCCACTAACTGTGAATGTTCCACACAATTCCACACGCTAATTTCACACCAGTGCAGGTTTTGTACTAGTGAGATGTCTAATTGACGTCCAAACCTGCTGCATTGGTCATTTAAACTGTTAATGCACCTCCAGGGAGTCTTTTCTAAAATAAATGATGTTTGGGTGTGCATGTGAAATCCACTGCAAGGAAAACACCGATCCTGATCATGGACAGTGCTGGTTCTCAGCTGAAACAAGTTCCTTCAACTGGGCCAAATGTGACAGCTACAGATGTAGAAAAGTGTCAAGACAAAAGTACCAATCAGCATCAACAGGTTTGCTCACATCTCTTCAGTATTAACAGCATCACAGTCACATGTACCCATTAGACATGAGTTTGTTTACATCCTGTGTTTTGTTTTGTCTTTAGCTCACTGCAGTTAAGAATATAAAACGACTGCAAATCTTTGTTGTTTGTAGGGGGAAAAAGATCCATCTCATAAACAGATGACTTCAGCCTCAAGCGTGGCAGCTAAATGCAGAGCTGTGTTTGAGCCTAAACTCAGACGTCATCTAGCTGCCACTGAATTTGCCTTTGAAAGCCATAAATTGCAGTGAAATTGTGCCCATTTCTGCTCAAATGATTTTAATATTCCCACATTTCGCTGTACTTAAAATATTTGTAAGCTAAGGTCACTTGCTCTTTTGTATCTGCTGTTTGAGTTTTGTGGCCTTGAAGTATTTGCATCGACCAAAATCATGGGTTTTCCTCTCTGTCTGTTCCTGTAGATACCTGGTCTGTCATTAAGGTGAAATTCTAGCCTTGGCTTTTTCCACAGATTTGAAAGTCATCCATACCTTCACCCCAAGGCCATATGATTTGCTTGCAAAAAATAAAACAAAGTGGGCCATAATTTCTACAATAAAACATTAAATAGTCTAAATGTGCTCGATAGGAAGGCCTTAAATACAGTAGTTTTGTTTTCTCATCAACACTTGCGTCATTGTTATTGTGAAAAACCCTTTCAGACCTCAACATACAGCTGACGTCCTAGCACCATTTGGGTTCATTAGTCTTGCATGGCTAATTCCCAATGGGAGCAGGAGGCCACTGTTCAGCCACAATATAGACTCTATGCTGCACGGATCTCATTAACCTCCCAAATATCTGCACATACTTTTAAACACTTTCACTGTGGTGCTTTTCACTGTGAAATACTCTTATTATCAAAGACGTTATCTACCAGTTAGCCATGTCACTAAATGTTCCACAAACCACCTGAAGAAATGTGGCTTAACCACAGTCATAAATCAGTTTTGTATCTGCAAATTAAACGCTTAAAGTGTGCATGTTTTAACTGGATAATTGTGGGTGAAATTTTGCACTCTTTCAAATAACTGAATAAAAAATACATGAATAAATAAAATTTGCAGACAATGTGCTCTTTATTATGAAGGAGGTCCTGTTTAAACCCAAAAAAAAGAGATAAATTTTACTGAGAAAAATCAAGTTTTTAAAAAAAAAAAATTGAAACTTTTTGACTGTACAGAAATTACCAGATTATAAAACAAGTTCAAATTCAGACTTACTGAGAAAAAAAAAATCATAGTTTAACATATTATTCAAACAACAAAGAAAGTATAAGCTACTGTGTCTTCAAATAGAAGTCAAATTTGACGACATACTGAATAAAAATGTTGATACTAAGTCCCAAATATGGTTTCCTGAAATTAAAAAATGTTAAATTATAAGATAGAATGTCGACTTCCTGTCTCATAGTTCTTCTTATTTTATGAATGGTTAAGACTGTGTTATATGACATTTCTGTCTGTCCTGTCTCTCAGCAGCTGCTCATCTGATCCACTGCAGACTTGGGACCTTATTATCAGCAATGTCAAATCTGAGGTCCTTTCAATGAACGCTTGTTACATTTTAGCTCAAAGTTGTTCTCTGTTAACCAGATGACACTCACTGACTTTAATGCATTCCAAAACATCTCATTACTAATTTTAGTTTACACAACCAAGTGCCCAGTCTGAACCTTTAGCCTAGGCTTGTTTAAACTTTAATCCTAAAACCAAGTCTCCAAGAAGCAATTTCAGATTAATAAATACATTTTTATTTTAGGCAAATAAAAATGGAGTAAATACCAAATGCACTTTTTAAATCACAATTTTATAGAAAAAAGTCATACAAAGCTACCTGGCCCTGTGTGGAGAAGTAATTGCCATCTAAACCTAATTACTGGTTTTGCCATCTTTGGCAGCAAGAACTGCAATCAAGTGTTTGCAGTAGCTGACAATGAGTCTTTCACATCACCGTGGAGGAATTTAGGCCCACAGAACTGTTTTAATACAGCCACATAGGAGGGTTTTCCAGCATGAACGGCCTGCTAATGGTCATTCTAGAACACCAAAATTGGATTCAAGTACAGACTAGACCACTCCAAAACCTTCATTTTGTTTTTCTGAGCCATTCAGCGGGAGGCTTGATGTAGTGTGTTGGATCATTGTCCTCCTGTCTAACCCAAGGGTGCTTCCGCTTCAAAGCATGAGACATTCTTCTCCATGATTCTCTGGTAGAGAGCAGAATTCATGTTTCCGTCAATTACTTTCCCATGTCCTGAAGCAGCAATCCAGCCCCAGACCACCACCACCAACTTGTTTAACTGTTGCAATGATGTTCTTTTTATGAAAGGCTGTGTTAGTTTCAGTGTTTGTCTCGTCAGTCCACAGAATATTTTCCCAAAAGTTTGTGTGCCCCCCCCCCTTTTTTTTTCCAGCAGTGGTTTTTACCTTAATCTCTCCCATTGTTGCCATTAACTTTGTTTCTCAGCTACG